TATGACATCACTCCCCACTAACCCCCAGTGGTGTTTGTGCATCTCCTGTACGTAGCGCGCTTACTCTAAAATCTTTTTCCCCAACTTTAGCAAGTATCCTATCTGCACACCTCCCTTCCTTACCAAAAGTATGTAGTTTTTTTCTCCCTCGGTATCGTATACCTATCATCGACGAAGACGTCACGGGTAAGACGACACCTGGGTAAACATTGGCAGCATTTAAACTTCTTCTAACCGACGCTCCACAGTGTACCCGAGGAAGGCCTATTAAGAAGGCCGAAAACGTTTGTACTCCAGTTAATAAGGCTAGAAATTAGTGAGAAAGGTTTTGTGCCGTTAGTCTATAAATCTAAGTACTTTTAATGTTGTCTAGATGTTTTTCCCCAAGATTTATAGCATGTGGCCTAATAAATTTAGATGTTTTATTTTTTCATTCAGATATTTTTTCATAGAATTTATAATAGCATGTAGCCCATGAGATCCAGATATTTTTATTTCATATTTTAGATATTTTGTTTCAATTAGAGTTGGAAACATTAAAACTTACACTGGCCACATTTTTGTTGCATGTGTCCTAGCTTAGTCGAGTTCAAATTGCTAGTGGACATTTGCGATTATTTTGTACTGTACATTGAATTAATTTAATCTTCAAAATGCCAACAAAAAAAAAAAAACAGTATGTTTACTGATGATTGAAAAAAGTCTGTGATTGTGTTGACAAAATAAAATATGAACTGTGCTTTTCAGAATTTTCAGTAACTCGTGGTGGGCATTCGGACATTAAAAAATTACTTGAAATGTGCAAAACATAAGGCAAGCCTAGTAGCAATAGGAATTCTCTCAAATATATTGTTATATTTTAATGGTACCGATTTAAGCAGGGCTGTGGAGTTGGAGTCGGAGTCGTGGAGTTTTGATGTTTTGGCCGGAGTCGGAGTCGTGGAGTTTTGGTGTTTTGGCCGGAGTCGGAGTTGGAGTCGTCAAAAAATCCGCCGACTCCAACTCCCTTTTTACTTACCAACTTGTTATGTATATGAAACGGAGTCGGAGTCGGAGTCGGAGTCGTCAAAAAATCCGCCGACTCCAACTCCCTTTTTACTTACCAACTTGTTATGTAT